TTACCCAGATCGTATTTGTGTGCTTAAGGTCACATGATGATAATATTTCCAAATGCTTAGAAGGAATGCAAAGTATTACAGTAATCCCTTTCTGTATCAAGCATAGGAAGGGGCTTGCCACCTCTCCGAGACCTCTGAGGCTGCTACTGGGATCTCCTGGTGGGATCTCCCAGGCCGTCCCCTTCCTTCGTGGAAGTCCTTGCAGTGCCCGGCTGCTGGGACTGTGGAGGAAAAAACTGCTGCCGTGCCAAAGGGCTGGCCTCTGCAGTGCCCGGAGCAGACGTTGCTCGCAGACGTTGCTCTCGCTGTGGAGAGACCTGTGCTGCCTGCCGGCACCCGCGGGTGCACAGCGTCGTTCCCCATTCTGCTTCTTGTCAAGCAGAATAGATTCTTGGCTGTCAAAGCAAATCTGTTGCCCCCCTTGCCCCCAACCTACCACATTTCATAGAGTCCTTTGTTTACTAGAAGCATCCGAAGAGGTGTATATTTGCATTAACAACCCCATTTCATAGAAGAAATTGAGATTTCAGAGGTGTAAAGTACTGGTCCGGTAAGTGATACTTGGTGTCTGCTCAGCTCTGTAGTGGACACGCGCCATATTCAGGCCTGCCCACCACCTTTCGAATAGCATTTCTGTGCTAGAGAGAATTCGTGTTGTGAGTCCTGCTGCCCCAGTGAGGAAGTGAGAATCCAAATCCCCAAACTCCCTTCCAGCTGGGACTCAGGCAGGCAGCTCGGGCCTCACCCATCAGCCCGCTGTGAGAAGCCCTGACTGGGAAGAGACCAGGAAGCAGGTGACAGGTGTGGTTGCTGTTCTGTGAAAGCAGGGGCCACAGAAACCTCTCTTGATGGTGACAGGCTTGCTGGCCTGAGCCTCGGAGGGAAGAGGTCGTGGAGCTGCAGCGCATTGCTGAGTCGGTCTCTCCGCGTTTGACATTCAGGGGCAGCCAGCCGGGCAGGGATCCCCTACTGGACCAGTTCTGCACATGGTTATGCTTAGTCTCAAATCCATTTCTTTTGTGTTCATGATTCTGTGTCAGCTCAATGTCTTCCTAATAAATACACTTTGCCTTGGCACCATCAGAGTGAATTCTTGGCTTCTGACCAAGAACCTGAACAATCTAAGTTCTATTTTACCTATTTTCTGCTACCTATTTGTTTTTTTTTTTCTGTTAACCTTCCTATTAGAGTTTCAGCAACATTTTAAAAATTGCAGTTTAAAAACTTGTGTCTATAGATTCTAGAAAATGCCCCGATTTCCTCTTAGGCCTTGTCATAGCTTCCGTTTCCTTTGTCTGTGATGCTCCTGTCCATGTGGCCCCATGTGACTTGCTCCTGCCTTTAGGATTGGGGGAGTATCTCTGCATCAAGACCTCCCCGACCAGGACAATGTAAAATTGCATCGCGTCCTTCTGCATGGCACATTCATCCCCGGCCTGCTGTACCCCCATACCTCTCATTCCTTTCTAAATGCTATTTCCCCCAGTTACAACATAAACTCAGGGAGGGCATGTTTTGTCTGTTTCTTTGTTTTGCTTTGTTTTGTGAAGTGATTCATCCCAAGTGCCTAGAATAGTGCTTGAAATATTATCCTTAGTAAATTTGTTGGATAAATGCATATTCTAAAAATCCAGTATTTATAATCATTCTTTGTTCTTTCACTTTTGAAAGAACTTTCTGTCAGGAGAAATAAAAATGCAATTTCTACAGTGGCCCAGATTGGTAGCTAAGGTGTAGTTTTTCTTCCTGACCACCCAGTTAGAGTCAAGAATTAAGGGAGGTTGGGCGCGGTGGCTCACGCCTGTAATCCTAGCTCTCTGGGAGGCCGAGGCGGGCGGATCACTCGAGGTCAGGAGTTCCAAACCAGCCTTAGCAAGAGCAAGACCCCATCTCTACTATAAATAGAAAGAAATTAATTGGCCAACTAATATATATATGGAAAAAATTAGCCGGGCATGGTGGCACATGCCTGTAGTCCCAGCTACTTGGGAGGCTGAGGCAGGAGGATCGCTTGAGCCCAGGAGTCTGAGGTTGCTGTGAGCGAGGCTGACGCCATGGCACTCACTCTAGCCTGGGCAACAAAGCGAGACTCTGTCTCAAAAAAAAAAAAAAAAAAAAAAGAATTAAGGGAAATAAAGCCCCTATCTGATTCTCAGTTTCCTCGTTTGCTGTGAACACCCCAGTATGCGACAGGAACAGACACACACAGGTGGGACATCCGAGAGGAAAAGTTAGCAATTGCCCTCTTGCTTTCATATATTTATCTATCTGTCTATCCACACACACACACACACACACACACACACACACACACATTTTGTTCTTTCTCCTTGTTTGTTGATAGTCAATAAGTTAAAAGCATTTTCAACATATTTTTATTTCAAAATATTAAGGGGGTACAAATGTTTTTGTCACATGGATATCTTTTATAATGTTTAAGTTGAGGCTTCTCATGTGCCTATCACCCAAATAGTCTTCACTGTACCCAGCAGATAGGTTTCCACCCCTCCCCCCCTTCCCCCCTCCTGAATCAACAAGGCCCTTGCAACCCCCCGGGGCCACGGGGGCCCAATAATTAACCTCCAAGGAACAACGAAGAAAAGGAAGGGTTGCTTCCCATTCACGAGATACTTCACTTGGCATAATGGTCTCCAGTTCCATCCAAGTAACCACAAAAGACATCATTTCATTCCTTTTTATGGCTGAGTAGTAATACATGGGGTGTGTATGTGTGTGTATGTGTACATATATAAACACACACACACATATATATACATATACACATAAAACATTTTCTTAATCGACTCACAAATTTATAGGCACCCAAACTTTAAACTATTAGTAATTGCCAGACATTGGGAGGGAAGCACCAAGAGGTCCAAGTGGTAGAAGACATTGATGGATTCAAAACAAAAGAGAGCCTGGGTTGCTACTGGAAGTTCTGGGGTCTTAAGACACCAGATAGAAGTTTACAAAGCTACTAAAAGCAACATATCCACTAGAAGTCATATACAAATTGGTTGTTCAGAACTTAACTCATTAATAATGAATCTATTACTATGCTTACAACCTTGGGGTAGTTCACAAATGAAATAGCTCATGATGACATGGAACTTGGCTCTGTGGTCTGGATTCTAGATTCTGGGATGACAGGCCTGGCAGGTGGAGAACGAGAGAGGTCAAGAGATGTCTTTTCATTCTTGGGCCACAGCTGATATTGGCAAACATATTCAAATACAAAATGATTTACCCTTGTGCTGCCCGGACTACACACTGGGATGACATGCTCTAAATCAACCTATCAGCCCTCTAGGCCACGTTGACTGTGACTTACCTGAGCACAGATTTAGGAAGAAAGCAATTCATGTGAAGTCGTGAATTTATAGATATTTTAATCTAAGGGAAATGAATTCATACCATTTATAATTATTCTTGAAAAGAACCCCTGGTTAACAGCCATTCCTAACTGGAATTCTAGCTTAAAAGATAATGAAGGGGCTTGAACTATTTTAGCAGCGAAGTGCAGGGTGCTATGTTGGGGTGAGTCAGCCCTTCAGGTGGTCTGTGCTGTGAACCCCTAAGATGCTCCTGCTGCCCACAGGACCTCTCCTATGTGTTCCTCATGAAAGCAGACAAGGGTGGGAACGTGTGACCCTCCAGATCCCCAAGTGCAGCCCTTTTGGGATTCAGTCAAAAGCCACACTCGAGGACCCAGAAGGTCACATGTGGCTCCAAGGCTGCAGGACACTTACCTCTGACTTCCATGGGAACATCGGCAGTGGAGGCAATTCAGAATAAGTTGTTGCTGTTTGTATATAGCAAATATTTGTAAGTTACATGTTTGTACATAAGGATTTACATGTAAACTAACATCTTGATTAGGCAAAGTTCCAACATGAAAACATCCTTAAATACTGTTGTTCTACCTTAAAATTGTTAATGATAAAAATGGCCCTTAATAAATATTTCTTTCATTTTTTAAAATAAGCACATTTTAAGCACCCAAACAGAAATAAGACAATAATGGCGGAAGGGACCCCGGGCCTCACACCCTTGAGCCTAATGGTGAGGCCCCTCCATCTCTAGCTACACCCCTGGATACAGTATCGCCTCCTGAATGATAATTCTAAGCTACTTAAATGTTCTTCATCATGAAAGTAAATCTCACAAGTTTCAGTAAATCAAACTTTGTGAAGAGAAAGCTTGGCAAGAACAAGACTGAGATGGTTTTCTGCTGCGAGCATAAACTGGGAGTCGAGGCTGCTGGCCAGCTTCCCGTGGCTGAGCACAGCCGCGCGAGGCGTGTTGGCCCGCACGTGATGGCCTTCGCTGGTTTTTGTTTTTGTCCTCATATATTGTAACTTGGAATTCATGACTGCTGTTACAAAGAAACACCCAGAAGGCATGGTCACCCTGGGACTAGCCTTCTCATGGCAAGCGGGCGGCAGGTCGGTGAGGACGCCTCCCTCCTGAGCCCTGCGCCCTGCCCCGCGCGGAGTGGCCGTTGGGCACAGCACCCGCCCGGCACTGAGGACCGAGGTCGGGCCAAGCTGGCCCTGTGCTGTCGTTTTCTCTTTAAGAGTTTTAAAATGAAATTATTATTTTTTAAATCCATATGTGAAATTTTATTTTTGGTCTAAAATCTGGCCCAATTTACTCAATCGCGATACCGGCCTGATCAGGCAAGAATTAGAGTTTGTGGCCCTGCCGGTGAACATTGTCATTAATCAATATTTGACCATATAAATACTTCAGTGAAAATGTTTCTATGTACGTGTGTGTGTGTATAAATGTGAATATCGATATAAACAGAAAGAGACTGAGAGAGAGAAAGAACAAAAGAACAAAAGTGGGAGGGAGGGAGGGAGGAAGAAAGGAATGAAGGAATGAAGGAAGATGGACCATGTATGTTTTTTGAGACATCTTCATCTCAGTTCCATGACACCCCGTGCTATTTTAGGCGTGTGCCACCCTGACCTGTGAAACGCCCTGTCTTTCAGATGGAGCACCGTTTACCTGGTGGCTCGGCCGGTCCCGTGAAAGGCACCCGTACTGGGGCGGGGCCCCTCCTGGGGTCCAGCAGTGCGAATGCGGCCTGGACGAGAGCTGCCTGGACGTTCGCCGCTTTTGCAACTGCGACGCTGACAAGGATGAGTGGTAATGAGCATCTCGATCTTTCTGCAGCTCTGGAAGCAGCACATTAATCACTGCATAAAACTTTCCCAAAAAGAGAAGGATATGCATGAGAAATTCAATATGAACTAGAGTTTCCTAATGGTTGTGATTTTTTTTTTTTAAGCTTGAAAATGACCAGTTACATGTTACTTTTAGGGCTATTACTGAGGTTTGTAACATAAAAGTCACGTGGTTGCACCATCCCCTCCTTATATTCTGAACCTTTCGTTTCAAACAAAGGAACGGAATGTAATATTGAACGTTGCCATTGAGTCAGGGTTTCTGTGATGGGCGGAGTGCAGGTGTTGAGGGAAAGAGTGAGGGAGGTAGGGACGCGTGGCTACGCAGACTGTGCTCCGTGCTCCGGCTGTGCTCCAGGCAGGAGCCTTCCCGTTTGCTGCCAATAACAATACGGCAAAGGGAATTTGTATTTATTGAGCATCGACTGAATCTTCACAACAACCTTTAAAGTCCATATAAACTTCTCTCGTTTGCATGTTAAGGCTGAGAAATGTCCAATACAGAAAAATTAAATAGTTTTCCCAAGGTCACAGATGTCTGGCAAATGACATATCCAGGATTTGAACTCAGGTGTATCTGCGGCCAAACTTCTCTTACTCTCCTAGCCAGCTTACTCCTGTAAAATGAAGGTCAGTTTGAAGTTTCCTGCCCATCACATTTACTTTTCCCTTGTCCTCCAGGCAAACTGCTTGTTTCTCACTGTGTTGACTATGAAAATACCCACAGAACATTTCCAAATACACTTTTGCTTTGACCAAACTTAAGGATTCTTTGGTTGTGGCTTATGCCGTTTTACTTGTTTCATCAAATGCTGCTCAATTATAATTAAGAATTCTTATGCCAGGCTGGTCTCATCCTGGTTAAAATTTCTTTTAAGTATTTTTCTTTCACTGTTCACATTGTTAACAGTAGGGGCTGTTTCAAATAAAATGTAAGATTGAGTCAAAACCTCAGCTCTGCAAGGAAAGGGCTGAGTGTTTGGCTCCACTGGGTCCCAGGCCACATGGACCAGAACACTGCAGGGCCGCGTGGGCCCCAGGGCAGGTTACCGTGGTGCCTTCCGCCAACCCCAGGCTCTCCGTGCATACGGGTGACAGCAGATGCCGTTGGCTGGAGGTAGAATGAACCTGTGCATTCTTTGAGGCCCACCCCACCTCCCAGTGAAGCCCACCGCAGCACTGTGGATGCCTACAAGCCAATACTGTTGCCTCGCATCCGGGGTGGAGACCACGTCTCTTTAAACATAACATCCCCCAAGACCTGCTCCTGGTGCAGTAGACATTTGGTGATAATTAGTTGAACAGATGAGTTCAGAAAACCTTTGAAGAGCAGGAATTATCACAAAACGGCATCTACAAGCTTGGGAGATATGTGTGGAAGTGTTAGATGGTTGTGTTGCCAGGAAAACATATTCAAATCCTCTGCTCCCAGCAGCTTAGATTCACTCATTTCTTTGATTTATAAGGTCACTTTCACTGTGTATGATGTTAGACACTATTTACCGATTTATGGACTTGAATGGAAACATGTTCCTTTCATTGTGTATAATCGGAGAAGTGGATATAGGAGGCAGAATGCAAAGTCAGAAGTTGTTGAAAGGGACGTGCTTCCCTTAGTTGCCCTTGTCTCTGACTCTTTACTTAGCTGGATTCCTGACCACTGCCCACTGTTTCTTTTCCTGCGGCGCAGCCCTTTCTTTACAGGGTGCTTGCCTACTGCCTCAGTGCCCCCTCTTCCCGGGGAACAGCTGGCCAGGGATTAATTCACTGCCCACCAGGGGTCAGGTCGGGGAGAGTGGCATCACATCACTTAGACACGTTGCAGTGCCACTATGCCCCTGCTCTGGAACTTTCCACTGGCCATATCTTCCACTAAGATTCCAGCCTCTCTCTCCTTTGATCTGTTCATGAGGCCACTGCCTGCGGAAGCCCTCATGTGTCAACTTCACTGCGTCATGCAGGCGTGCTCAAAAGGATGCTTCGGGCGTCCTTGCCTTCACCTTCATATGCTAGCGCATGTTTCATGAGCCTTTCCATTTCCTTTAGAGCCAGGGAAGAATCCCCATCCAGTGCCACTTTCTGTGGCAAGCGACCTCGATTAGGGCATCAGAATTTGTTATTACATAAAGGTGTTGTTCAACTCCCAACCTTCCAAAGGTCAAGAGAAAACAACTGGACCTTCCTGGTAGGGACGCCCGCTTCCCCCATGGCTGTCCCAGAGTCGCATGTTGAGCACCTTGGGGCAAAGTCCAGGTGAGAAGCGACCAGAGATTCCTTCTGTCATTCTCATGAGGGAGTAAAGACTGAGATTCTGATTTAACTCTTCTGGGTTTCGTTCACTGACTGATTTGAAAAATGATTTATTATGGAAGCACCTGTACGTACTACTCTGCCTGACATTTAATCACTGATTTGCTGCGTGCCTGCTCTGTGCCAGACACGGTCTGCTGTGCAGACAAAGTCAAGGGCATCATAGTCTGTGCCCCTGAGAAACTCTCAGAAAAGTAGGGAAGAAAAAGGTAGCTAATAATAAATGGATCACTGTGATGAGTTTGGTGACAGAGTTAAGTGCACAGATACCTGGACCTGGGGTAGAAATGGTCTGGGAAAGTTAGATTGTAAAGAAAAGTGGTAGGTAAGTTTAGAAGACCCATAAGAAGTATCAAAGGAATAAATAAGTTAGTGTACTACAGGTAGGGGAACCTTTGTGTTTAGACAGGAAAATGTAAAAAAAAAAAAATCACCAATTCTCCAAAACACAAGTATATTGGTGTGGCCGTTGCACAGTCATCATGTGGAGAATTCACAGGAGATGAAGGCAGGGAGGAAGGCAGGGAGGTCTGGTCAAATCCAGACCCTAAAGCTGCTTGTAGGTAAAATAGCAATTAGCTAGCTTTGTCCGTACCAGATTGTGGACACTCAGCATACAGACGCGAGACCTGACCAATCCTTATAGAAGTGCATTCATTATTTATCTATCCCACTCTGTTATTTACTGTAGAAAGGAAAAGTATTAATACAAAAGCTGACGCAATTGTGAAATAATCAATAATGTTCAACATAGTTTCAACCTCTTTCTTGGCTGACATACGGTCAAGCTGGCTTTTCACATGTTTCAGATTTTTGTTTCACACCACCGTGTTTCATATCATTGGTGTTCTGAGTACTCCTGAGAACTTCAGGTGCATTTGCCTTGCAAGGCTCCTCAAGCTTCTGCTCTTGTCAAGTTAATCAGAAAACCGACTTGGGCTGGTGTAGCACCTAGTGGATAGCGGTTTAATATAGTACAACTCCTAGATGGTGTTGTCACTTAAAATGTTGTTTATATCCTGAAGTGTTCTTAGTACTTTATATACTGTTATCTCATATTAGCATCTCCTATTAACAACTCTTGAGGTTGGTTTTACTACCTTTTTCCCTAGAAAAAGAAACCGAGGACTTGAGAGGCAAGTGGCTTGGTCAAGGTCGCCTGATTAGGGGGTAGAGTTGAGATCCTAGCTGATCCCACAGGTGCTCTTGCTGACTCCATGGAGGAGCCACTGATGCTGGGATCATGGGTCGCGTGGGCCAGTGAGATGCGGGAGGGAGCATGCCGGGCTTCTGAACTCGCGTCGGCACAGCACGCCTGCTGCTCAGGCTGAGTGCGCCTGCTCACCTGGGCACCTTGCAAGCCTCTGGTGACTGATATTGTTTTTTCTGTTTTGATAAACTTCTGCAATTGAATAACTTAATATTTTATATTTCAATGAGACCCACATAAATGAGGAAAATGAGTGCGTGTTTTAGGGATGGGTGACAGTGAGGTAGCTCAGCAGATGAAGATTGGTGGAGAGAGAAAAAAGAAATCACTCAATGAACCTCAAAAGCACTATTCCTTCTTAGAGTGAAAGGAAGCCCAAGTAAACATCTGAGTCAAGTGTGCTAGAGCAGCGGTCCCCAACCTTTTTTGCATCAGGGACTGGTTTCATGGAAGACAATTTTTCCAGGGACCAGGGTGGGAAGGGCAGGGGGCGGAGCATGGGCAGTGATGCCACGATGGGGAGGGGCTGTAAACACAGATGAAGCTTCACTGCACAGCCAGATGCTCACCTCGCCTCCAGCCCAGTCCTTAACAGGAGATGGAGTGGGGACTGCAGTGCCTAGAGCTGATTTCTCAGGGGTTTCTGTCTTAGCCAAAGTACTAAATAGGAAGAAAAAAAGAAAGGAGGGAAGGAGGGAGGGAGAAAAGAAGGAAGAGAGGAAGAAAGGAAGGAAGGAAAAAGTTATAATAATAATCTTATAGTTAGTGGCTGTTTGCAAAGGAGCTTCTCTTCAGCTTAATCATGCAGTCCATAGAGGCCCGCCCGGATGGGTGGCTTGGGTTCTGATGCAGCTCCTGTAGACCGACGGACTGTTAAGAGCAAGAAAGGAAACTGGTGACAGCTGCAGTGTGCAGCTTCTGCGATCACACAGAGGAGTCTTGGCTGTGTGGGAGGTGGAGAAATGGTGACCCAGGAAGAGGGGTCAGAGGACAGCTGGGCAGCGTGTTAGAGGAGGCAGGGGGCCACAATGTCCCTGTCAGTCGTGACCCATGTCCCAGATGAGGAGTTTCTCATCCAAACAACCAGGTTGAACTAAAGTAAAGCTCTCTTTCTTCCCAGCAATCATTATTTTATTTATTTTAGAAGAAAGTGTGGAAGTTTTCGATTTTTAGTAACTCTGTTCTTTGCCTCCTGCCCTCAGTGTACCCTTCTGTGAATTGATATGGCAAAAATAGAAAAAGAAGATGATGTAGGGTTTCAATTCCAGTCATCTGATAATCCAAAAACAGAATATCTATTGTTCTTTTTCTTAAAGAACAGAATATTTTTAGGACATGTCTTTTTTTTTTGTATATGGAGTCATGGAGCTTCAGCCACTCTTTAGCCCGTTATTCTACCAGAGAAATTATTTAGTAAATGTTGCTGAATTCATGAATGAAGG